AAGCGTATACAGAAATAAATACAATTTGCGTACAAAATATTGCTTTAAAGACGTTAGAAATAAAAGCCAGGCAGTCTGGTGTCAGTGCTACCTACTCTTTAGTGGCCTCTAGGAACATAGCGATTTGTTGTTTGATGTAGGGCTGCCTGAGGATAAGTTTGACATCAGGCCTGTCTTCAGGTCTCCTACACAGCATGCACTTGATCAGTTCTCCCAGCTGTAGATCATACCTACTGGGCATCTGTGGCAGCTGATGACAAAACCAGGGAAATAGTTTTGTCATTGTGAAACAAATTACATTTTCAGAATCAAGATTTGGAAAAACAGCATGCTGTTTTTCATTTATAGTTCCCCAGGACAAGGATAAGACTATTCCAAACTCCAGTTTGTCCACGGAGCTAGCAATAATGTCCAGGATCTGTTATGATACTCTTAGGAAACCACAAACAAATGAGAACCTCAGATCAAATACTTTTGTGTAAAAAAGCGGTCATCTGGAAAAGTATAACAATGTATTAAAACCAAAAACATTCAAACTTGACCGTACAGAATATCTAATAAAATGTATGTAAAAGAAAGATAAAACCCACCTTTCCTTCAACAATACGATAAACCAGGGAGTTCATGTCCTTGGCATTGAAGGCATGTTTCAGTGTGGACATTTCATACACACAGCAGCCCAGGGCCCATACATCTGACTAGAAACAAATAACATTGATTTATAAAGCATTTACTATGACCAGTCTTAAATAAACTATGCAGTGTATGAGCAAACAACCATATTACCTTGTGGTTGTAGGGTTTATTAGAGAAGAGCTCCGGACTCATGTAGTAAGGGGTCCCAATGAGCGTGCTGGCCATATCATTCTGGTTCTCCAAAACTCGTGCAATGCCAAGGTCCCCAACTTTGATAATATTAGTCTTTGTCAGAAAGATGTTCTGTGTTTTAAGGTCTCGGTGAAGAATGTTCCTCTCATGCAGGTACTGCAAGGCAAAATCCAAGATCTCCCAAACTTGTATAAAGAAGATAAATTATGTGTTACCTAGCATAGTGTTCACTTTCAAGTTTCAAACAATACCTGTAGTGCCATGGCTATCTGGACGAACCACTCAACCACCTGCCTCTCAGGTAAGAGTTCGCCCTTTTGCTGTTTGAGACGATGATATAGGTCACCGCCTTCACAGAAACCCATCACAATGTATAGCTGGCAGTCATCTCCTTCCCAAGACTCCCTGTATGTCACAATGTTAGGGTGGCGAAGCTGAGACAGAAGCTGGGCCTCCTGCTCTGCAGAACGCCGTTCTCGCTTGGAGGAGGTGGTTAAATTCAGCTTTTTAATAACATACTGGGGAAAAAATGGAAAACATGGAGTCACTCTCAATCAGTATTTGTCATTTCAGTTCTGTGAAAATAAACACAAAATATAAACATAAATCAGAAACTAAAACGCTTGAAATTAAGCATTTCCAAACATACAATAGTAGAACACAGTTTTAGTTTACTAAATACTAAACATGGCAGCTCACATGAATTAGACTTTGTTGTTTTACATCTTAAGACCAAACTAGAAGACTTCCTTTACAGCAGGGTGATACCAGTCATAGATCAGCTGCAGTTTTTTGTGGTTAAATGGGTAAAACCATTGTCCTTGTGCGTTCAACCCCTTCTATGTCTCATGGGGGTCACTGCGGACTGGAAACAATAAACTGTCAAATTTGATGTTATTACCTTGAATATAACGTATGCCTTTGCAGCGTCATCTCTCCCAGAGCACTGGAGGTATTAACCTTATAGAGTGTGTTCCATAAAGCTCAAACATAATGTAAAAGATCGTGACGCTGACTATGAGATTTTAGCATACTTTAGCTATAAGCTAGTTGAAACTTAGCTGGGTCTTGACGTGACGTTGTTTTGAACCACCATTCGCTGTATTAAATGCCAGAGACGTTTTGTACCTCACCTGTTTTCGGTCAGTTTTGTGTTTCACCAAGTTCACTTCGCCATAGCTCCCTTTACCAACGACCCTGATGAAAATATAATTATTCATCATTGTTCAAAACGCTTCATAAGGCTACACGACTTTTCCGGCAACGATAACAGTTTTATTTCGTCCCATACTCTAGACGAAAAGACGAGATAACCAATTGAAATCCGTTTGGGAAAATTTCGCACTAAGAGTTAATTAGCTCACAATGCCAGCATTGAGATTTTGAAAACGTAGGAAATCAGAAGCGGTCGATAGTTTCGTCACTAGGCAACTGTCAGCTTACTGCCAACGACGGTGAGAGGGTCCGACTGGCTCCAACACAGCGCCGTGCGCACCACAGCGCCCCCAGCCTCTGCATGGTGCAACTTCATTAAATCAGGAATCAGGAACATTGCATAACATCCAACAAGCCAATGAACAACAAGACAGATAAGGCAACATAGTGCAAGAACAACATGCAATAGGAATTTCAATTAAAAATAAAAGTTAAAAATAAAAAGTTTGAAAAGTTAAAAATAAAGTACCAAAATGGTCACCAGATGGTCAGACTCCCATCCCCGCCAGAGATCAGTCCAATGAGGGTGGTGTCATCCACAAACTTCAGGAGCTTGACGGACTGATGGCTGAAGGAGCAGCTGTTGGTGTACAGCAGGGGTCTCAAACTCAAATCAGCTGCGGGCCAGATGCAGCCCACTTCAACCGAACGCGGGCCAGACTAGCGTCCGAACGGCATGGTCGACAATAACACAACTTAACACTCGGTCCGAATGAGACTGCAACACTAGTCCTCCTTTAACTCAGCGGGGGAGACCTAAGGTCATGTGACCCCATGTCAGTCACATGCATGCCACGTTCACTGGACAAGCACACAGTAGGAAACCAGAATATCATAACATGTCCCACACAGCAGCTGACAGTGGGGTTACAGTATAAAACTTGCGGGCCGCACTAACATTACACTTTCATATTAAGGATGGGGCCACAAAATATCGTCCTGAGGGCCGCAATTGGCCCGCGGGCCGCGAGTTTGAGACCCCTGGTGTACAGGGAGAAGAGCAGAGGGGATAGAACGCAGCCTTGGGGGGAACCGTTGCTGATGGTCCGAGAGGCTGAGACATGTTTCCCCAGCTTCACGTGCTGCTTCTTGTCAGACAGGAAGTCAGTGATCCACTGCAGCTGAAGTCGGGGGCGTCCAGCTGAGAGGGTTTATCCTGCAGCAGCTATAGAGGACAAAACATGGCTTAAGTATGAATAAATAAATGAATAAATGTATACATAAATACAGGAATAAATAAATGTGTAAATAAATGAATACATGTATAAATAAATACAGGAATAAATAAATACATGTATAGATTAATAAATAAATGTATGAATAAATAACTAAATGAATGAAATAAATATGGATTTGATAATCGAACAGGTCATTACATTACATTACATGTCATTTAGCTAATGATTTTATCCAAAGTTACAATAAGTCTATTCAACCAGGGATACAAACTCAGAAGAACAAGAAACAAGAAAGTGCAATTCCATCAAACAGGCCAATTTACAATTTGCTATAGATAAGTGGCATTACAAGTACAATTTAGGTGCTACAATTTGTTAGTCTTTTAGTCAAGGTAGAGTCTGAAGAGGTGTGTCTTTAGTTTGCGGCGGAAGATGTGAAGGCTCTCTTACGGTGGCCCCGAAGTGCAAAACACAACGGCAAATAGGAACGCACAACGACAAATAGGAAAACACAACAGAAAATAGAATTAAATGTTGCACGTTCTAAAATCCTGCGCAGTTTTGCTACATTTAGCATTATCATATGAACAAAAAAGCACGACAATATTCATATGTCACTTTTTCAAACATTTAGAGAGAAATTCATGTAAATTCATGCAATAACTTTAGGATAATGTTTGGCAGTAACACAAAGTTGTTAAATAATCTAAATGTTAAATGTAAATCTAAATGTTAAATGTTAAATCTAAATCTAAATGTTATGTTATATATAAATGTTAAATGTAAATCTAAATGTAAATGTTAAATGTAAATCTAAATGTTAAATGTTCACTCTACATATCAGATTTGATGACTGAACATTACAATATTTACGGTAATTCACGCCCAAGCAAGTATGTGGCCCCCTACCTAAAATGAGTTTGACACACCTGTTCTACAACAAGAGCTAATTCATCCGGCTTATTAATAAGCAGGCTTTACTGAACTTTTCAACATTATAGACATTTTTCTCAAATGACACAGAACATTTTTGCAGACGGATATGTTGGAGGAGAAACTATAATCAGTAAAGACAATAAGGACGTTGCCGAAAGAACTTGCTGGCTAACTAACTGAACTTAAAAGTGCACCCCATTTTATTCCCAGCATCTGTTGACTTGGCCCAGCCCGTTTTGCGTCATACAATCCACTAGATGGTGCATTAGACCACCACAGGCTGAGACGACACAAATTCATTCGACTTAACCAATTCTTTGCACCTGGAAGGGTGAATGGACAAATAAGTCGGTGTGGGCTGTATTCTAGACTTTATTCGAAAGCAACGTCTTACACAGACGAGTGAGATGGTTTGGTATTGGTGGTTTTATTCAGTCATAAGACGATTGACAAACAACGCTCCCTCTGGTCCAGTCTCAAGACAAACAAAAACAAATATCCAATTGAGCGTAGATTCGCAGATGCAAAAACAAACAAAGTAACGAGAAAGGGACATGGCTTTGTGTATACAAGTGAAGCACGAGAAACAGAATAAAACATTTAAAGTAAACAAATGAATGAGCCTTAAAGAATGCATTTTACAAAATGCATTTTACAATCGCGATTCACCACTACCACGTTATAATATACTTTCAGGGATACTGATAATAATGACCTAGCCTGCACGCCGACACCTACACGCCCTCGAGCACCGCAGCACCGGCGGAGGTGGCCGAGAGTCCACCAGTAACATCGCAGAACGGATTACTTGCGCCGCAGCTCGCCCGGCGATTGGTCCGTTGACAGTTCTGTCACGCGATGACGTCAGGATCAGCACTGCCGGGAAGGTTGCTAAGTACGGGTTCCGTCCGAGAACGCTGCCGAGTTGTAGAGACCGACGGACGGACGGACACTCGATACGGACGGTGCACCCTTACCGACTGTTCAATTTCAGGTATGGACGCCTGCGGCTACGCTGCCGTGACACTTACTTCCACTCTGACTTTCCCCAAAGGCTCGTTGGATGTTGGGAGCGTGTTTTTCTTTTCTTCTTCCTGCCTGTTTTTTTTTGACAGCTCATATTTATTAGGCAACATTTATCAGCAAGGTTTGCGGATACATTTTATGGGCGCTTTACCTTCCTTGCCCCGGCGTTCAGGGGGCGTTTAATAACTGTTCTCCGTTTGGCGGTTTCGTGACTTTAAAATCGCGCCTGAGGCTGAAATCGTTCTCGTTATGATGCCCGTTTACACGAGGAGACGTCTTGCATGTAACAAAAGCCGCAGGTTCACGGAGGCAGGTTGAGGACCATTGCTGCGATGATGATGATAATGTCAAGTTCTTTCAGTATGGTCCGACACGACGTGCAGTTTGAGTTATTTGCCCCATCCGTCTTTGTTTTTCTGTTTCCGTCTCTCTCTCTCTCTCTCTCTCTCTCTCTCTCTCTCTGGTATCTGGGCCCGTGGGATCTTGTCGTCTTATCAATAAGCTCCACCAAAGGAGCACAGATTTGGTGTGCTCCTTTGTCGCCAGCTGACCGATTAGACCGCTTCTCTCAGTGTTTGTGTTCTGCCTGTACATGCATAGAGTTGGTGGATGATGATGTGGATCAGTTACTCTAATACGACTGGAAGGTTTATTTAGAATCAGAGGCATGCACACACTTTAAAAATGGGTTAAATGAGATTCAAACTAGACCATGTAAGTAGGAAGTGGACCAAACCGTTCAAGTGCTTACACATGAACCATTACTACATATCTTAAATGCTCATCATGACAGAGAAAACCAAAGTAACCATCCCCAGGGTTCATGCTTTAAATGAGTGTCCTCCTGGCACGCCGGAAAAAACACCAGCCCACCCACCACTGCAGAGAACTGGGTCAGCTCCCTCTTAGACAAAGAATAACTTTTTAGTTGTACTAAATGTGTGAATGGGGCTTTCATGAACTGACAAATGATGCCAAGCTTTGGTCTCTGGGCCAGATTCCAAGAGCTTGAAAGATCAGAGATGCTATGCGTTGGACCTAGTGATGCCCGGAAAGAAGTACATGAAAGTTATTGCAAAAAATATAACCGCAAGGCAGTCTGTTGACATCTAGTTCTTGTTCTTGACTTTGCATCAGAATATTCTCACAGTTGGGGCTAAAACAAAGGAGAGCCCACTTGAATGTAGGTAGTTTGTTGTGTGCACTTTGAGCCATCCAGTTAGGAGATAGCGAGCAGATATGTTCCACTGGTCAGTTTTTAGTTTTTTCTACTTTTATATATTTATATATTTCCTTATTTGTGAGTGTGGGTGTGTACATTTTAACCCCAATATAACTTAGATTTGACTCAATACTCCCATGTCATTCCGTCACGCTTAACTGTGGTCGTGTGTAAATGTGTCCTGTTTCTTCTGTCTACTGCACATCACAGGAATGGGAAACCAGTGAGTACAGCGACTTTCTATTGTGTAACGGATGAATGCTGCATGTTACATACTAGTCGAGGATTGTGATTATTTGTACGGTGCATCTCCCTACTTTCAGCCTTTTCAATCCTTTTGCTTTCTGGTTGTTTTTTCTGAGCAGCACAGCATTTTCACAGCACTTCACTGGTTCGCCAGAAGTCATGGAGGGGCTGTTCCTGGCCTATATGGTCATACAATACCTGCATGTGTTTCTCTCCTCTTCTGTCCCATACTTTGAAACGTGCCCCTATGTGTTCTAAACTATTCACAGCATTTGCTTGTATAAAAAGCTAACCCGCTTTACTCAACTTTATCCCAGAAGCCTCAATTTCTTGAAATATGTTCTTTGAAATGTGAAATGAGGTGGACTAATAAAATCCAAGTGTTTTTTTAAGGAGCTGTAGCTGCATGTTGTTGTTTTCTGTCAAATTCTACAATGGTTACAGCTAGTGACAAATAAGGGCCAGTTCATTCATAGATTTTAAGATTCAATATTACACATTCTAAGCACATAAATGATATGAATCTCAATTAATCTTCATATGAGTGAGATGATTACAAACAGGTAGTGGTTAGGAAGTATTCAATTTGGCTCTGGCGTCTGTTTCCTTATTATTTCCTAGTTATTTTTAGCCTTGAAGGCTGTTATTCCCAATTCACATGTACGTTAATGCCCTGTTTATAATAAAAATATGGATAGAGATGCAACTATTTTTTTAGTTTTTTTTAGTTGATCCATTTAATTAAATCATTTTTTTCCATGCACCGTATAATTCATTTGTTTATAAAATGCCAAACGTGCTGACAAGAGCAAGTACGTCTTCACATTTAGGAAGCTACAACCAGCAAATGATTGTTATCTGTGCTTTACAAATGGTCAATTAGTATATTAACATTTTTTTTTAGGACAAGCTAGGCATTTAGTCAAAATAACACACTCAAAGTCCTCAACCTCGTATCCGGACCGTAGAAAGAATCTCAACAGTACAGAACGCACAAAAACCTCTCTATTCTTTTTACAAAAACTGTAATGTATTTTTTTGAATTAGTACGCGTTGACCCACTGTGGAACATTTTCAATGAAAACATTTTTTTAAAAGAATCCTTCTCTGTAATGTATCCTGGATTCTCAAAGAAAGAGTCCGGTGTAGAGTGGAAGATGTGCTAAGGAATAGAGTTGCAGTGTATTATGTATTGTTTTATGCTCCCCTAGAGTGCCCCAATAGGGCAGATTTACATTTGTTAGAATAGACTTCCTCTCAGCGCTTCCCCTAAGCACATGCCTTTGCATGCTGTTCCGTCACGCCAGGTTTAGAGCTACTTCCTTTTACTTTAGTTTCTTTTAATGACATGCAAAATGCAGCGGGGGAAATAATGAAGGCTATTAGTTGAAATGTTCCACTGTACTCTTTGTTCCTCGTACATTTGGGGACATGTTAAGTGAGTTCATAGCAGATGCTGTTTGGAGTGTCTAACTGGTCATGTTGTATCTTGAGTGTGATGTGTTCTTCAAATTATTTTCAAACAAAAGAACCCACTGCAGCCATGATTTCCACCTTAAAAGCAACCAGCCATTAGACACCTAAAGCAATGTTGTCTCTCAGATACAGCAGCAGCTCCTTTGGGTTTCCATGGCGACATGTACGACGCCAACTTCTGACAGTGCAGGCGGGCGAGAGGGGTGCCACATTTTTTGTGTGCGTGCGGCAATCAGTGACTGCACCTCAGTGCACGTAGAAGAGGACCCATCTTTATCGACGCGTATTATGATCAGCACATGAGCAGTATTACGCCTGCCGTCTAACGCCACTCGCTAATAATTCTGCATTTCAATGAGTCTACTCTGAACTAATAGGAGAAGCGTTAATTGTGTTATCATCTAAAGTCTTGAACAATATTGGTCTTGTACAACACGTTGCATCATCTCACACAGACTGAGTGTGAAGCAGCCAGGCAGGCAGCAGGAACAGAGGAGGAGTGAGGCGCGGTGATACGAACACCGCTATTTTAGTCTTCCAGGTCCTGAGTTCTAGACGCTTTCTGGGTTCAGATGACAACGACGCAGGGTCTTCTGATCAATCCAGCTCTTTGAGTGTGGCGAGGACAAACATCCAAAACCGACTTCTAGCAAGAGGGGGAAAAAAGTAGGGGTGGGGGAAAAAAATGGATTTTTCAATTTCTCTCGATTCTCTCTAGAACGATTCGGTCTCGATTCAGAAAAGTTAATAATCGGAATAAAAAAAAAAAAGTCTCTCGCGCGAGCAAAAGTTCGTCTCGCGCGAGATATTTGCAGGTTAGTCTCTGCTCGCGCTCGAAGGTGTTTTCTACGCGCTCGCTGTTTTTCTTTTTGACAGTAAGAGGGCGGAGCCAGTCACCATGGTCTCTACACCTGATTGGTTACAAACCCCGTCTTTGGATTGGCTGGAGTGATGCATTCACACAACGCCCATTTCCGCAATGAAGAAAAGGGATTATGAGATAAAACGTTGTCAAAAAACAAACGCCCCCCTTCGGTAACCGTAGTAGACCGTAGATGACAACCAGCTACAACCATCATTTACCATCATTACCGGCACATTAAGAGCACTGCGTCCAGCTCGCAGACCGGTCCGTCAGTCTGAATCTGAATATCTTGCCAACTTCACCGAACTATGGAGGAGCCTGTGCATATCTTACCTCATTATTTCGATTTTCCAAAAAGTCGATCCATATTGAAAGTTGGCAAGATATTAACAGATTTGGACTTTTTTCCGGTATTTTACAAATACGGACCGGTCTGAGACTAAGACCAGCTTTTTCTTCATTTAAAAGAAATATGAATATTTTTTTTACATAGGCTACTTCCATATTGTGTTGAAATGCAAGCAGCATTGGTTCTTGCATTGCTGATAGAAAATCATATTTGTGACAAAGATTTTTTTTTTTCTTATAAAAAATTAGAGAAGGCAATTCATCTGTTGATTTGCTTTAATTATCAAATAAAGTAGGAAGTGATTAGCAACCTCTGAGTAGCAAACTCAGATTTGAGAAAATTTAGAAAATCGAGATGCATCAATAATCGTTTTATCGGTTTAGAATCGATAATCTGTTTAGAATCGAATCGTTGACCTCTGAATCGGAATCTAATCGTGAGGTGCCAAGAGATTCCCCCCCCCTAGAAAAAAGTCCAATTAACCTTGTTTGTGTCTTTTTCCAGAGAAAGGAGGGTCTTTAGAATCTAATAGATGGAGGAGCATTTGAGTTTTGGCTCTTTGAAATATCTGCCTCCTCACACAGAAGCTCATCTTAAAGTGTTATCATTGTAAGATTGACGAGACTATTGTAACACTATAGTAAGCACTGGGGTTCCATGCTGCTCTTACACCATGTGGCTGTGGTATGAAAAGGGAACCATTATATTTGAGACCGTAAACCAGAGTGAAACTGTAGTTTACTGATTACCCCATTTGACCATGACTTTTAGCACGCCAGGTCATAAATTCCTTGCTTGCTGATCATAAAGATTGGTGAACATCACTGTAAGACTTTACTTTTCATGATGTGTCAGAATACAAAAAATGTAATTCCATACATTCGGAGCAGATCTTCTGCACTGGCGTCTGCCATGTTGAACATCTAAATGCAACAACAATGCAGAAACCACCCCAAACTCGCAAAGACAAGTTATCCTTTTTGCATCATTGTGCTTAACATTGAGTTGCTTTACTTCCTCATGGGATGAACACACACTCAAAGCACTAATGCAAACTCAGGCTACCAACCCCAAAACAACATAATAATGCTCAAATAGCACCTAAGTTTAACTTGAATCTTTTTTAGATGGTTAATATCAAGGACTTTAAATTTCCTGTATGAGTAGTTCCAGACATGTATCCATATACTGTTAGTGTTTTCCCATATGAAAAACAAATCCACAGACGTCATTAATCCAAGTGAAAAATCAAACTGTTAATTTCCTTTTAATACAGTACAGTTTGTGATGGAAAGTGTAAAACTATTGGTATTAATGAGCTTCTCCTCTTTTTCTCCACCAGTATTGTTTGTGACCGTAACAACAAGAATATGCCACTGGATGACGACTGCCATGTCTGGAAAAAGAAGACCACAGATGTGAAGGATCAGTATGACTTCAAAGAGGTCCTGGGAACGTAAGTTTGTTAGTCCGTGCCACTGGCACAACCACTTGTGTTTTAGCTTTGTATGATGTCAGTTGCACACTCGCAATGAAATCACCACCATAACAGAAGCTTGTGTTTGCATTTTATATGAATCAGTTGGCTGTTCTGAGATAGATATGGCACAGAGAATTTGAATTTGTTTTGTTTCTGACAACAAGACTTGAGTGTGGAATTGAATCTCTATGAATTACGATGCAAGCATTTGTGCAGTTTGCTGTGTAATTGCTCAATCTGAACTAAGTACGTTTCTCTGTATTTGTAAATGTCAGTGCTCTATTCACACTGGACTGCTCCTGTCAGTCCCCCTAGATAAACCGCATGATGCTTAAGCTGACATAACCGGCTCTAATGGGAACCTGATGTGTTGCAGCAGCCCACATTTGGTAATTGTGTCAGTGCAAAGCCAGCAGTAGCAACAATGCTGTTTTTCATGGTTCCTATCACGTTTACTTATGCCAATGAAGGTGAAGTGGCACAGATCTGTTTGTTTTATTGCGCATGAAATTGCACCTGCATATTCAGCCTCAACTCTTTTTGGAATACTAAAAATACAGTTATTTGGGGGATTTAATTAAACACATTAAGACTTATTAATTAAGGAAATCTGAGAACCTCCCTAAAACATTTAAAACACAACATTTAAAGCAAATAAGTCTGTCCACGCTGGTTAACTATTTCCTTTAGGTTCCCCATGTACTCAGTCAAATGATGGTGATGATTACAAGAGGAATTTTGAGAATTTTTATTAGTTTGTGACATTTTTATAGGGACAATTCTTGGTAATCAAAAGGATATTTCCCATCAAATAAACAGGCTTATTTGGAAGGGGGTCAGTTTATGCAGTCTAGTCTCATGATTGCAATAAATTGCAGTAGATTTTCAGTAGTAGGATAGTGCTGCGATTATCTACATGAAGCTTCACAAGGTTCACATTTCTTGGTGAGATTATTGTCACAGCCTCTTACTGCATAGTTAATTTTTGCTTCTCATTCTATTACCGTGTGTTTACCTCTACATTGCTGGTGAGTGGGAGACATTTGGGTGGGTATTTGTAATGTGAGGCATTTGTTTTATTTCTATTTTGAAGACATTACTGTGTCTGCATTAATATTGCCCCCATTCAGTCCCACGTGTATGCTGACATCAGGGTTTCATCATGGACAGGTCGCACGACTGACATAAGGCTGACGTATATGAACAGACTAGGTCAGTCTGAATGGCTGAACAGGCATGAGTCCATTTCTGCGTTGTGGAAATTCTTTTTCGATGTATTTGTTAGTTGATATTCAAGGATATTAGCAATATTTCTGTAGTAATGCTTGACCTGAAAAAGCAAGTACATAAGTGTACAAATGTAAATATCTTGAAGAAAGACATGCAAGTTAAATCCCTTATCAACAGCAGCCTGCTTTCCGAGAAGAGTCTTACCCCGTGGAGGAATGTTGGCATATGTTAGATGGGTCTGTGACTGCTTTCTATTTTATTTTCTTTCATGTCTTTTCCTTGGAATCGGTTCCTCTTCACTTTTAAGTGCAGTGGGTGTTCGTATACCCTGTATATATTCCATGTTTAAATTATGTTAACAGGTTATATTATTTTAACTATGGTACCTACACAGGACACTTGTCAAAACCCAAATGTAATTTGACACTTAACAATTGAGTACATTCCATCACCACGACAGAACCATCTCTGTCCTCTTGAGCTGCTGGGGCTCTCTTGTGGCTCACTGGGTTCTCCCTTCTAAATGGTCCTGTTACCCATCCTACAACAAAACGCTTGCACAGCTTTCCCAAATTGCCAGAGGCAATTTTGACCCCGGTTAGCTCTGGAAGAACAACTTACTTAAAGTGCACTGCAGTTGTTAACATTTTTTTCAATCCTCTGACTCCGTTTTATGACCCTTCACCATGTGTGCCAGGTGTCATGAGACGGGATGTTTATACAAGGTGCCTCCCTTGATGCACCTTCTACAAACAGCCACACTCTTGTTAGCCCAAGATTAAGATGTGTAAACACATTTTAGATTAAACCTAAGCGCATAATGTGAGTCTATTAAGCCATCTTTAGCCTCTTCAGTCATTGATACCCAGAGAATAGAAGATATATTGCAATCACTGAATGAAATGGACTAAAGGGACTTTCACAGTTACACACATTGCAACAAAGGTGTTGATGGAAACGTACCCTCCTTCTATATTGTGTAAACACACTTATAAAGGACAAATCCTGTTCAAAAGAAAAGCTCCAAAGGCTAAATAACCTGCGGCCAAATTTGCAGATGCGTTGAACGGAAAATGCTTGATTATTTCAGATTCATGGGAATCAATCTAATTTCTAAAAGCACGTCTGAACAGATAAACCGGATTAGAAAGAGCCACCGGGATGTTCAGTTCACAGAAGTAAACCGGGATGAAATTACATGCTTAATGATTCACAACTGGATGTGGCTGGTTTGTGTGTACATTGGACATAAGCTAGGAATGTACAGGTAAATCCAGTCTAGAAGCATCAAGCCTTATTTAAGTTGTATTAATGCACAAGTACAACAAATGTTTGCATAAATGAAAAGGTGTGTCCGTACTTTCAATCCTGTCATTGTCATTCCTTCGGTCCTACACCTGCCCCTGGTTTGGTGCTGAGCTAGTAGATGGAGAGATCAGCAGCTCAGCTGTGTGCCACATTCATTCGCAATTGCTGGATTGTTGTCTTGGTAACAACAGGAGACACTTTCCATAATGGACTCAAACAGTCACTATGGAAACTAAGTCTTTTGATTTTGCTATTAATAATCATCCAACGGCTGCATATGTGTGCATTGTGCAAAAGATGAACTCTCTGTTTTACAGGAAAAAAACACATGACACACATACAGAAATTCCTCTTACTTAGATTTACTATATATGCCATATATAACCTCATTACTGAACATTATCTTTGTTATGTCTAAAACTCTTAAACGTGAAGCTATTCAAATCTTGCTGTCCCTCCGCTGACAGCGTATCAAATAGATTATTATTAAACACATTATTATTATTATTATTATTATTATTATTGGATGAAACTGTTCGTAAGTGTGATTACTTCTGTCAAATGGCTGAGTTTAGTGACACAAAAAGTAATTATCTAGGGACTTAAACCAGTGGTACTGAATCTCTGGCTGCTGCAGAATGTTTTTGTAATCAAAACAGATGGTAATGAATAATGCACACAGAGGCAACAGCGCTGTCACTGCAATCAACTCAGATGCCTCAATTTTGCCTTCCTTTTCTCATACCTACTTATGTTAAACCTCTCTCTCCCTCTCCCCTTTTCCTTGTGCCGTTGTGAATCCAGCTCCCCGACGCCTGCTCTGTCTCCTGGTTTCACATCAAGTTTTCTGTGGAACAGGGATCCCAGTGTGTTCTGTGTCCCTGTTTTAGCTCGATATAAGAATCATTTAACGGGGAGGCAGAGTATAATTAATCCACAGTAAAGCTCAAAATAACATGTCGGAATATGTCCTCAAAATCAACACCTATTTTACACAAACACACCCGACCATTTACTGACCCTGCACCTTCCGGCAAGCGTTGTTTAGCATCATGCAAACCCGCTTATAGATTCTCAGGATGTGTACTTACAAAAGTGATATTGATATTTTTTTGTATTTAGCTGTGACTATTAAATGAATGCAGAAACTATTTTTAGCACTGCACCAATCCCAAACAACTAACAGGTCATAGGTCTGTGGAAGTCATTAGATATCCTGATGTAACGTACTGCCAAATAAGTTATTGCAAATCCTTTAAAATTCTATAAGACAAAAAGCATCTCTTTATCATTCTTATTTTATTCTAATGTTCCCACACTCTGCTGCCAGCTTCAATGTTTCTCTACTGATGACAAATCAGACAAATGGGCTATGTTGCCTTTTCTGACATTTGAATGAATGCCCTGAGCAGCGAGGGGAAATTCTCTGTATTTTTAGCTCAAAACACATTTCTAAACACAGAGGCGATGGAGTAAGGGAGGAAGTGAAGTGAAGGCTAGGGGAGCGTGCTGTAATCATCTAAAATCGTTAGGGCTGATGGATCGGCCCCCGCCTGTCTCTGTCACTGGCAAACGGTGACCCAGCAGCCACTGCACTCGCAGGCCGTATGATCTGCTTATTGGCTGCGATTGATCTGAAGTGGTGTGTCCGTGTGAACATACGGTTAAGGGTGAGACGACACTTGCTGTGGTTATTTAATCTGCTCATTCTGCACTGATGGGTCTGAGTTTTTCTGTATCTCTTTCCTCTTTTTGTTTTCTTCTTGACGACCTTTGTCTCAAGTGTTTCTCTCCTCTACCTCCATCAATGAACGCATCACACATCTACTCTTTTTACAAAGCATGGATTCCTTTCGCCCCCATAGGCCGTTATATGTGATTTGACAGACTGAAGATATCTTTTTAAAACTTTAGCCAAGCATTTTTTGTGCATCACGACTACAGACTCGGGTTGTTTTTTCTTTACCAATACCAGCTTATCTGTTGTCAGTTGAGCGAAGACCACAAAGATGATGAAACACTCTGTTGTATTGTGTTGTAGTTTCATTAGACACGTATGTTGATGTTTCCGATCTCCCGATCTATATAGGATGCACAAAGATTTTTGTTCTTTTACTAATCATAAAGCCGGCTCGGACACTATCTGGCTGTCAGAAGAGGAACCTTTTGCTCCACTTGTGCCCGCCCACTTGTGCCTCTCTGCTAAAGTACATGGGCTTTAATGCTAATTTACCACTCAAACTGAGGGCTCTCTGCTGGTGGAGTGGAAAGATTCAATAACTCAACACTCATTGGGGTGTATATGTTTTTGTGAGTGCAGTTTTGCTTGCAGAGGCATTCGTGAATGTCTACAAATTGTGTGATGTGGGTAAGGCTTCGACTCTGTCTAAATATCAAATGCACTTGGATTACATATGAAATTAATACAAATGACAGAT